AGTCAGAGTGTGCAGCACATGGAACTCTCTACCACTTCACGTGGTCTGCGCCCCAACATTAGTATCTTTCAAGCGTCAGCTTGATGATGCTCTGGCAAACATTACGTTTCAACACCCAACTACACAACATATTCTCCTATGCTCGTCAAAACATTACCTTACTACATTACTTCCATGGACTAACTGTGATATTGGGAATCGTGATCCGAACCAAAGTGTAAACACCCTATGGGATTTGAAAAAGCGAAGTCTTTGTAAGTTATATCCCATAATAAAAATTTGAATTTGAATTTGTCCAGTGTTGATCAGTGTCTGTACAATAAACTTCTCCAAGCTGTGCAAGATCTCACTCAAAATTTCAAATTCTACCAGACAATCAGAAGCAGTATTGTTCCATATTTCCAGTTCAAATCTCAGTCAACACCATACCGACTATTGCGAACTCCGCAGTGTAATATGTTCTGTTCATTTTAGCAGTTCAACTTATTCAGTAGTTTGATCACACAAACCTGTGAAATTCGCCCGTCCCAGAGTATAGAGACTAGCTCCGCCTTGGGGTTGCCGGGATGCGAAAAGTAACTTGAAATAATGCAGAGTGAACAAAAAACTATTCGAGAACCGCGTTTGTAAGTCGTGTTCAGTGCCAGCGGTTTAACTCCGGGTAAGAACCCTATCGGGTAACGTCGACACAGTTTTGTGCTTGAACCGATCACTTCGTTTGTGCGGTTACAAATGCTTTATACTCAAAGACTTTCTGTATATATGAGCGCAGAGGGGGTGGCGAGAACAAAAGCCGGATCGTAATCGGACAAAATTGTGGCCCAATGGCTAGGGATCGACCAAGGACGTCAGCATTGGTTCAACCGAATCAAGCAGATCTATACGCGTAGGGAATAACAACCTGCGTTCAGGACACGACTGTCCGACAAGACCGGAAAGCAACGAGTTGAGATATTGGACAGGATTTGGTGACGTCAATTTATCGTATGACCGTGCTTCTACCACGATGAAGAGTGCATCATTCCCAATAGGCTCATGCACAAGTTAACCAAAAATGAGCAACAGCTGGAGACAGATAGGGATGGATGCAAATCAACCGCACAAAGCTCCGATGTGTTCACACTTCCATGAGATCGGCGTGTTCGTGTGTACCCGGACACATGTGGGGCAGTGCGGATACGCTTGGATTTTCTCAGATCGGCAAATGCGCGCACACACACACACAGGCATACAGAGTCGAATCAACAGTTGGTGGTGCACTTGGACGAAAACTAAACAAAACGATGGGACCGTCCTCCAGTTGTGTGGTGGTGGTGGTGGTGGTGCAAGTGGTAGTTGGAAAAGCGGTTTGACATCTGCTGACCAGGTATACTAAAAATACAGACGGTCTATATTGGAATGAACAGAAGGGACCAGTGGTAATGAACTGTTGTGGGGGGGGAGTATGAAAAAGCAACTTGACCAAATTGTTTACCGATATGGGGATAGAGCAGGACACGATGTGGGAGGACCATGGAGCGGAATAATGCCCAAGGGGATTAGGTTTTCTACAACAAGGGGATAGTGATGGGGATATCTGCCAAGCATACCAGATGTGGACAGGTTAGGGCAGATTCTGGAGAAGGTGATAAACACCTACACAAGCGGCCGGTTGCTTGGTTAGGCAACTACTGATTGATAAAATCCTATCATGTGACTTGACCATAAATGATTGGAATAGGTAGATGGAACTTTACGCCGGGATTGTATTGATCTAAACTATTCAATATCAAGACTTAGTAGAATAGTTATAACAAGGTTATTCTCACACTTTCACAAATTCAATGTGAGACCTGGGATTCGGTAGCGCAAATCACATTCAATCTCGACGGAACACGTGTGCATTGCAGCTGAGAATGTTATCGTGCATCTTCCAGTGTTCCATCTAGATCGGATTTGAGCCCCATGCACTGATGAAAGCCATCCAAGCTATTGGATCAATAATGCCGTTAAATCAATATTTTGAGACCCCGAGATGAGACTGCATTAAGAATAGTTACCAGTTATGGAGGTGTGGATCTGTCAAGCATGCGATTACTACGGATCCCGCCAAAGGTCGTTGTGGAAAAATTTTCGGGCTCGACAATAAATCCGTGTCACCATCTAATTTTGACAGAACAGACAAGAGATACGCGCCGATAAGCAAACTGTGACGATGTCCATGAGTCTGTTTAGGTTAAAACGACGACAATTTTCTTTTATGAATCACGTCAAAGGCTTTTCGGTTGTTTTCTTGTCTTTTAACTGTTCGGGCGACCGATAATTACTCAACTGAACAATGTACCTTCCACTACACCATGTCCCAATGGCTATTAAAGGAACAAAGAAAATGCAGTGTGTGTGTGTGTATATACTCCGTTGGCACACAAACATAAAAATGATTGTGTACCCAGGCGGAACAATACAGAACAGAGGAACTTACCCAAAGATGCGACCAAATTCGGTTGCGATTCGAAGAGCTTAACGGCTCGCGGGGTGACCACCAATTCGCTCACGGATCGAGCCCGCTGGAATCGAATGTGATTTGGTGAGGACCATCCAGTCACGTCCCCCTCATCGGAGACCATATCTGGCAATGCTGTGTTTGACAGTCTTGTGACGGATGTGCGTTTGGCCGCCGGAATCACTTTACCGTTCGGATGGTCCGGGAACGCAGTCTCAATTAACGAGCTGCGTCGCGGTTCGGCATCTGTCAACGGTGGAGGACAAAGAGGACGACATGAATGGAGGATCAACTTGATGAGAGGTCGGGAGACAGTTCTAAGTTAAAAATGTCTAAAGATCGGCAAAAATTTGATCAGAATTAGGTTGTAGAAGTGAAAATACCTGAAGAAAACACCCCACTAAACATGTGTCTATGAGAAAACCTCTCCGTTCCGACCGCCATTTGCCTCTTGGTTTTAAAACACGCACTTCAATCAGACACCATAACAAGTTGGTTCCAAAACCGTCCGACAGAATTTTCTGTTTGGATTATTAGTCGATTCATGTAAGAAAAAACGAGCTCCAGATAATTCCGAATGAAGCACAAAAGTGTCCATTATCAAACGAGCAACATTGGTCACCAAAGCTTAAATTATCTACTGTTTACTCATATCAAACCAGCAGTGAGAGACGCAGAAGGCCAAGAATGAGAACAGGAATCAAACGAGTGGTGTAAAATGCATAAATAAAGAAATAAAGAACTGATTCAGAATGATAAGGCATCTTTGATTAGTCTAATTCTGGCTAAATGAAGTACAAATTCAGTGCACCCATCAATTTGATTGGAAGTTTGTATTGATCACCTGAGAATGAAGCACGTCGGTCTGATTGGTGACTCATACATATAAATCGTTTGGGGCTATTCAATACAACGAATAACTAACTAATGAAATAGCGGGATGTAACACGAATGAAGGTCCAGATACGGAAAAGAACCATGATTGAAACGAAAAAAATTCGCTCGTTAGCTGCAATCATTTCGCTTCTAAATTGTGAGCAAGATTGTTGTCAACCTTTGTAACAGAGAATGGAGGGGTTGAGATGTAAAAAAGAGAGAGAATGTGGTTGAACTGAAAAACAATAATAAAAATTTGTTTATTTGCTTCATCATACAATTTTTTGATATTTTGGTGCATTAGTTTAATGATTTCATGGGGTACAGGATATCAACAGGCAGAAAGTACAGTATTCGTGCCACTGATCTCTATTCCGGGCCATCGAAAATCCACATCCCTTAGGCCCCAGCCTCAAAGGCGGGCTACACTACCGAAGTCCAAGCTAGCTTCCTCATACCTCTATGCCATATCACGGTTTGACCGCCGCGGCGCTTTTTCCAGTCCTATCCGGAACGTTCAAAAAGAATACAGAAAGGTAGACGGTGAGCAGGCATACGCGATATGTGACCAAGCCATCAGAGGCGGTGCAGAGCGATTACCTTTTGCAGAGAACGACTATCCCCAAGCAACAAACGACGACGAAACTCGTCATTGCTCATACGATGTTCCCACCAGACATGGGTACTGAGTTGGAGATATCGGTGGTCGAATACAGAATGTCGATTAGCATCCTCAACGCGGAGGGGTCAAGTCTTGCAACAGCAAAGGAAAACACTACGAAACGTGGCGATGTACACCCTTCCCTTAAGGGACAGTCAGATGTCATCGCGGCGCCACATAAGTCTTAGTTTGTCGAAAGCTGCTCTAACATTCGATATTCGTGATGTGGTCTCCTCTTCAACATCACCTCCAGTAACAATCAAGCTCCTGAGGTACTTAAAGCCCTAAACCACTTCCAGCTGATCACCACAGATGATGAGTGCAGGTGCAGGCTCCTGCTAGGCTTGAACAGGCACGTTGTATTTGGATGGTGCAAAGCACATAGCACACCTCATCACCAAGCGGTTTAAAGCCTGTTGGACCGTGTCCCTCAGATTCACTAATTCCACTCAGACTCGGTTTGCAATTGTACATTCAACTCACTAATTTTTCACAGTTGTAAAGGGTAATATGGGCAATAGGGAGATGTAAAATTTCTGATTGGACCCATTTAAGTGACCATATGGTGTCAACATCTTCATTTTCATTAACTACTCGACAATGGTAAGAATCCAATGAACCATGCAATTAGTGAGTTAAATCCAGTTGAGAACCAACGTTAGAAAGTGTTCTCCGGACGTAACAATGCAACCAGTTACTAAGCCCGATTTAGCGTACAGAGTTTCCACAACTCTTCCTAGGATACATGCTTAATGAGGGAGCAGGCGACTCTGCTAAGGGATGAACACACGAAAACGTTTCTGTCGAACATGATTTTGTCGTAGGCATCGTTTACTACTAGTCCCAACTATTTCTGTCCCATCCCCAACCATTCTTGTCTTGGCTAGTTCACCTGCCCGAGTCCCACATTCACAAAACGGACATACGCTGCAGGCCGTCACATGATAGCTTATCTCAGGAGAAATGTTGATTATTGCAATGTGTGTAGGAACATCAACAAGTGAAACGCCAAAACGCGCGCGCACACACACACACACACAGAGAGAGAGAGAGAGAGAGAGGAACCACTGTAATCTCTGAGTGAATCGACACTCAGACACCACAGACAGTGTGTAAGTGTTGGTTTCTTTCGGAATCAAGACTGGTATACTCGTTTACCGAACCTCCAACCCCAACCAGAAAAAGAAGATTTACCTGCGTTGGATTCCACCGGCCAAAGTTAAAGTACCGAACGCAGATTCACATCATTATAACTTAGTCTTTGACGGTGCCGCAAACCTAAACTTCGACGGATGCATAACCTGAGGCCATCACACAATGAAACATTGGGATAAAACTCATGATCTCCCCCCCCCCTCCCTCGCTTCATACACAAGCACAAAAATGGTGGTAGCACACAGTGGACGAAAATGCTACAAATCAAACAGTTTCACACAGAGCAATGAACTTTTACTCTTCAACGGCGCGCTTCCTACCGAATAGTGATCGCATGGATTAGCCAGTTATTGATACGTTTAAGGGTGCTCGATACATGACCGAAATTAAACTAATGATAGTACGGTAGTCACATTCTCGACCACACGATACCACGGGAATCACAGGAACTGGGAATCACACAAACACAAAAAATAAAAAATCACTACATTTCACAATTCAATTCACCTATCTTTCTCATTTGATGTTACGCGTACGCGCAGTGTTTGCCCCTTTGACATGTTTGTTCAAGCGACAGCCTGCCGGGCATAGAAATGGCATATGGGGTTAGGATTGAGACTAACCTTTATCCGGGAACGCATCTGGTGCAAGACGTGCCAATTTCATGGCCAACTGCTCTTCTTTACTCCGTCTCACTCGTCGATCACCAATTCGACCGGTCAATGGTGGCGCCTTGGCCAGATCACTTGGCCGCATAGTGCCCTTGCGCGGTTTTTTCGAACGTTTCACCTGGGCTGAGGTTTTTGCCGGGTTGCTGAACGTTTCTTCGAAAACGGTTTCCTCATAGGTGGGTGGAGCCAAATTGGACTGATTCGACGAGGAAGGAGGCAGCGGAGCCCATTGGATTTGGGTGATATCCGGGCGTTGGGCGGCCCGGGAAAGACGTCGCATGGTGCTGCTCAAATCGGGCACAGACGNGAGGCCACGCGTAGAGTGGAGTGTGTGTAGGGGTCGGGTGCCGTTGCTGCTGGACCGATGAGAGGCACGCCGTCTTCGTATGCTAGCGGATGGAAAATAATTGAGACGAGGAGATGCATGTGGGTTAGGGATAAAGTGATCAAATGAAACCGAAGGTAAACAGAAACGATATGAACAAGACAAGGAGAATGTCATTTGCCTTCATACTAAGTAAAACAAACAAAAGTGAAAACTGTGGGAGCCAAACAACAATCGTCGGATTGTTGTTCGCGTTAAGTTGACCGGTAGCAACCGGAACAAAGCAGAAGATTTAACAGTAGTTATGAATAAATGTTTTTACATCCTTTCGCGTTTAGTGCGCATATGCATATACAATCAATTTTCAGGAACACGGTAGCAGCCAAAGAGAGGCTGCCTGAAGAAATACAGGAATGGAGAAACTGTGTGGTGGTGGTGGTGATGCTAACGCGGTTTGAACTCAGGACAACCAGGGTTGACCTGGTAATCGGATTCCATCCATATACCGTCTAAATGAAAGATTACGTCTAAGTAAGACAAAACATTACCTCAATCAGATGCCCCTTCACTACCTAGAGTTAGATCTTTCCATTTCGATTGTCTATTTAAAGAAAAGGAATAAAATAAATGGAAGATTTGAAACACCGGTTTCTCTTTATCCATTAAGATCGAATCAAGATACGCGAGCAAGATGTCGTCATTTAGCTTGATCTATTCAAGCGCTGTTTGCTAACATATGCCTTCATTAACCATATCTGATTAACAAGGTAGTGATCTTGGGTGACGGTAATAGTGGAGCACTTTAGGCAAACTCACTGGAACTATTGGTGCCGGGGTTCGAACCCCGAAAGTGAAAACCAAGAGCATTGAAGCAACGGTTTACCATAAAATTTTCAGTGTCGGTTTATATACGAATAATGAGCAGTACTCGTTTACTGCTCGGTACATTTTTATGTATAGTCAAAGAAAATTGGCACGGTAACAAACCACTATAAATCTGTGTATCAATGTAGAGTCAAAATGGTAGTTTTAAACAGCATGACAGCTGGAACTGATTAGAATTTTCAACGCAGGAAAGTGAGAATACTTGCATTGTGTCCGACCATGCAAGTTCTATGTGAGTCCGCGAAAATGGAGAACTTGTGACGTTTGACAAAGTCAATCGAAAGAAAATACTGTCTTAGGATTATAACCCAAAACCTGGGTATGTGAAGCGTGGGCGTTCCGTTCGGCAACAGTCGATACAATTTTCGAATTATTTGCGAATCTCAAACAGTCAAGTATCTGCTCCCCATTGCATCAATCCAGACTTTATTGGTCAAGTTTGTGTGCGTGTGTGTAGACGCAAGCGAGAATCGTAAAGTCATAAAACCAACTGCGCGGCATACCACTGCTGTCCATCGCCTAAACGGAAAAACAGGTTCCAACGAGACAGGAACATCCAACCGAGCATCACCCCCGGAAGCGATAAAAACCATGAAAACTGTCAATCACCAAAACCCCCACAGGGTTTGGATGTCTTTGAATGAGGATGTACAGAATAAGTGAAGGTGCGAACAAGGTCACATGACAGATCATTCAATCGATCGTCTACGGCCGAATATTCCACGTTTGCATCACAAGGATGTAATGCACGAGACGATTGGCGTATCAGTGGTTGATGGATGATGACTGATCCATTAGGGATCGTTTGCAGTCAATGCATTTTACAGGAATACCAATACGCCACCTACTACTACATTGATGATAATAAAATTATATTATTTTTTAATCACTTGCATCCGGATGACTGGAGAGGAGGAATCGCTTTTGTGCTTCAATGATCAGTCTCGTCCAGTCATTTGCGTACTGCCTATAATATGATACTGAGAAATCGGCTTTGAATTCAGTCGAAGCGCACTGAACTCAGAAGTCTGATGTAAACATTACCGTGGGGACATTTCAACATATTTTAGTAATACGAACAGCTTCCCGGTGGAATTCAAGTGAAAAGTGTTTGGAGTAGAAGTATGTTTGAGGCTCAGAACATTGTGTTGTTCTTCGTGGTGGAGAAAACTTGATCAGATTCTGGTGTGTAAATTCCACAATTCCAACTGCAAGAGAACGGATATCGATCCAAGGGACATGAGAGAGGAGACGATGAGGATTTATTTTGCGAATGGCAATAAAACAACCAATGTTGCAGTTGAACTAGGAAACTATATTTACGGTAATCGAGAGAAAAAAACACTTTTAGTTCAGAACCCAAAAAGGCAATTTATTATCCGTTCAAATTGTTATTTGGTAAATTGTAGTCTTATGCTGAAATTGTGACAAGTTCAGTAGCCTCGGCGGGATCCCCGAAGCCACGCATCGACGACACCTACGCTCTTAAACAGCGCACGCTCTACCAGCAGATTTACGAATACAAATCGATAGCGCACTGATCTTTTCACGTTCAAATCACCCATCCAACTTACAGAGGCATATGGCATCCACCAGTTAGCATGTAAGCCGACTGCCACAACACATTTTCATCAGAATTCACCGGAGTCCACCGAATGAACTTCTAAGGTATGCCATTTGCCTCGTTGACTGCTCATCACACAGACAGTTCAACAGCAGAGTTCGATTGTGTACTCTGTGTGGTCACCATCGAGGTTCACCTTCCTCCTCGTCCCTCAAAGTAGGTCCAATCCCCGTCCACGTAAGTTTTACCACTAACCTTGTATGCATTGCGAGTTTGGCAGCGAGCAGTGAAGTTCGCTTCACTCTATTTCGCTGTACGATGATGATGATCATCATCATCATCACAAGAGGGCTTATAATAATGTCGAGATCAAGGAGATCATGCATTCCCATTCCACCGATGATGCCCCACCGGGTGTGAGGAATGCGAAACACTGCTCCCCCTGATGAGCAACGCACACACATATAAATATGAGAGTAATTCAACTTCAATCGGGAAACTGCTCAGCATTGTGTTCAGCCAGCAGGAAGCACATTAGGTCTGAACCGATGGGTACAGGATGCGCACATAGACCAATTGCCCGGCACCCGTTTGACGACCTGGAGTGATAGAGTTGGAACATGAAACATGACGGATGAAATCAGGAAGAAATTGTACCTCATTTGTTTATTTGTTTCCCTTCCGTTCGGTTTGGCTAAAGAGGGTTTTACGCCAGATTAGACAAACACATGTCATATTTTAATGGAATGCGGTGAGATTCAGACCTGAAATTGTATAAGTGGGTCAGCAAATTTCCTCGAGGAGAGGTGAGTATTTCGGGAATTGCAATGTAGAATTATTCGGTACACCGTTCCACCGTTAAGCAAGAAACATCATGAAAGATTTTGACTTCTTCGACACATGCAGATGAAGTGAGATTGTGTCTTTTGTGGTTCGCCTCACCTAAACGGTTAGTTTTATCGTTTCTGTTCATTTTGCCAGATTTCCAAGAATACTCAAAAGCATATACTACTAAATAACTGACTACGTCGTGGTTTCTCGTATTATCTATTTTTCGAATCCCTAATGAAAGCCATACAACAGGAGGTTGACTAATGCATTGCAATCCGGGGAACTTTGGGGCTACTTATGCCAGATTTTTGTCCACATTCGAATAAAACTTGACGCTGATCTCGACTGTCGTTGGAGAGTTTTTCATAAGAACTATATCAATGAAATGGACGGGGGCGAAAAGTACAAGCTTCCAGTGAGATTGTCCGAACACACGGTACCGGACTCAGTAGGTTGCACAGAAATACGACTAAGGTGTGAAAAGGTTCCGATAACGAACACATCAAAAACACGCCAAGTAAATCTCCGCTAAGTTCTCCATCAGCTGGACACATTATCGATTTAGAAACCCACAAAAAAGGACTGTGCAATTTGTAAGACAAACTTAGCTATTGCAACTATTGTAACTGTCAGAACTATTTCGGATGGTGTTCAACGCTTGATCGAACAAAATATTGATCCAGATAGCATAAACACGACCACAAGGTCGTCGAAACAGAACCCGTCAACATAGGAATCAATTTTGTAGAACAACACCAAACCATTGTCTGCGAACATGAACAGTTTCATGAGGTGCGGAATGACGGAAGGAACAGGCACGGAACAAAGATTTCGTCCTCCAGTATAAGGAAAAAACAGATAGCCGATGTTGACAAAAAGTAAGCAGTTTATTTGTTTGGTAGAGAAGAAATTGGACTGAAATTTCCCAACACGTCTGAACATACGCATCATTATTATCGTACAGTGAAGCGAACTCTGCCGATTGCTATTAAGCTAAAGACACATTGGAAGTAGGAATGTACGAGGCGATTAGTCGTTCTGTTTTCAGAAAGAGGAAAGAAAGTGAACATATTACTCACACATATGTTACAGCATACCGACCTTATACGAAATAAAAGAAACGACGCCGCTGCTCCCAGATCCTTCACTATCTCCAAAAGACCGGTAGAGTGTATCCTGCAGCGGTTCGGTCATACTGGAGTATGATGCAACTACTAGGCCGTGGTGGGAGCGGGATAAAGACAGATCATCATTTGAAAGACCTTGTAGATGCCGCATCGTTCCGGTCTGGTGGGGACGAGCGGACAAGCAATATCGAGAGAGGGTCAAGAAGTTTAAACAACCTCTGTCGGCTACAAGAGTTCCATATCCTTATCGGTCCGGATGTTTCAGCTTCTACAGTCATTAATCATGCATTTTCATGCACTGGTTATGGTTGATGTCTTTTGGATGTTCATTTGGATAAAAGAATAGAATGAACGCTGAGAGCAAATTAAAGGGGAAGCTAGAGAATTCACATAGATTACAGTCGTCAAAATATTCGTAGGCTGATCGACTGGTTAGGGCGGTAGACGGAAGTTCCCCAGGAGTCAATCTCCGAGTGGGTTCAAACTCCTACTACCAGCAAAGCTATGCGTTTCACACCTCCAAGGTGTAAAGCGTTTCTACAGGACTGGGTTGGTTCAGCTCCCAGCCTCAGTCGAACTGAAGAAGTAATAGAGCAAAAGGATAAGTTTTGTTATTTGGACAGCTATATCTCACCTGGTGGACGCATCACGGATGAAGTGTCAGCTAGCATACAGAGGGCTCAGTCAGCATCTGTCAACTTGCGACATCTGTGGCGCCGTCGCGATATCCGGGTATCTGTGAAGGATCGAATGTATGCCGCGGCATTTTGACCAGTTATGCTATACGCGCAGAACAGTTGCCATTAAGAAAACAGGATGAAGATAGACTGTCGATATTTCTATTTTATAAAGACTATTGTACCATGATTTGCTTGGCATACAGTGTGTCCTAAGACAAGAGTGAAAATATTTTTATATTGGTATTTGAACACCGCTGTCTACGCAGCACTGCACGAATCCGGTGGAGCAGCCGGACAAGTGATGCTGAGGTTAGGCGCGGAGTTTAGGTAACCGCGATCGCCCACTGGAGCAAGTGGTCGACCTCCATAGATTTGGGTATGTGTTACGCATGTCACCAAATAGGTTGCCACGGCGAGCGACGTTCACCGAGGCAGGTAGTGGGTGGAAAAAAGCCAAGGGTGATCAAGTTAAGATCTGGCAAGGGGCATTAAAAGAGACTCTGTCCCGTTAGGCCCTGGATGAGGACCTCAAGATGATAGTAACCGATGTTTAGAGACTGTTAAGACGGAGCGAACAGAAGCCGTTAGGCCACACAGCGATCCGCCTAACACCACAAGTGCGTTCATGACATCCAAAGCCGAATAGATACCGGGATGATTAAGGCGAATTAGATAGCTGTTGCCCGATCGATCAGTCGGAGTATCAAGGACGCGATCTGATTGGCGCGTCACCACGCTGTTTCTCGTACGCCTAACTTACCACCTATATTTGCATGTCGATTCATCGTCAAAAATATTCTCTGACTGTCTTCTTCTGAACCGAGCTCTCTTTCCCCAATCGTTTTTGGGGACTAGTCAGGAGGTGCACGTATCGTTCATCCATCGTAGACAAGACATAACAGAGACGCTGAGTGACATGGTTGTGTAGTAAAAAGTGGCGTTCGTGCATTTTCTCAATTTCTTTGAAACATCAGTCCACTGAAATTCTCCATTTTCTGTCCGCCTCTACTTTCAACTTTCCTTTCTTTCTCCACTGTTCATCCAAAAGACACCAACCAAAACCAGCGCACGAAAGTGCATGATTATTGGTTGTTCAAACCGAAAACTGAAACCGTAAGAATATAGAATACATGCATGAGCGCCACGTGCGCGACATCCAGCCATATCTTCAATTATTTCTCACCTCCGGTGACCATGATCTCGGGGTCCCCATCCAGGGCGCCTGACGGGATCTATGTGACCCAGTGTCCTGGTTAGAGTTTTCACACCCCCGTGTCAGATCCTTGTGTGATCGCTCTTGAACTATTTCCATCCGCTCTCTGCTTCTGCATTGTGCGCCGTGGCAACCTTTTTGGTGACATGCGTAACACACATTCGAACCACCGTAATCTAAAGAGGTCGACCACTTGCTCCACTTGACGACCGCGATTACGTCAAAGTCTACATCTAACCTAAACACCCATCACGA